CAACAGCGCAAGCTCTGTTGTTATTGCTTCGCTTTTGAGAATCAAGGTTGTAAAATCACAAGTTAAAGTAGCTTTGAAGAGACATGAAAATTCAATAAGACGTGCTGCTAATAAAGGTGAAACAAAGACTAATTGGGTTGCCCAACATTTCGGCTGGACAAAATTTCATCCAAAAAAATTCACTAATCATCATTAACTTCTGTGCCCATGAATACTACTCGTAATCAAATTAAATTGTTGATTTTTACAACATTTAGCCACATAATACTGAGTAAATCTTATTTCTGGAATATATGATATTGACAGATCTAATATAATTACCAGTAGGTATGAATATGGATTTTAAATAACTTGATCTCGTCCAATTTTCATTATATCAATATTTATAATTAAATACCGTGCAAAGTATCCCAGGATACCTTATACGGAAGAGGGTACGTAACGTTTGATTTTGCTCTCAAAACGTTTGCCATGTACATGTTATAATTCATTGTTGTTTAATTTGAACATATAGAATAGGTGATGCTTGAAAAATACAAAAGAGCATCTTATACATTTCAGTTCAAATGATAGTTTAGAAATCATGACTGAGTATATAAATGACAACAATAACTTAAAAAAAGCAATTATCTAGTGAAAGTGTAGAATAATATATTATCTCTATTAGAAAATTATTAAAAGAGTAAATTCAACTGGTTTATATTTAAATTATTTAATAATTTCATATTTCAAAATAAGTATATTTAATACAAGCTTGAGCTTTTTGCAGTTATTAAAATAATTTAAGTATTTTTTTTATAAAAGAAAGCATATAAAAAAAATTTATTTGAAAATTTAATAAAGTATAAAAATTATTAAAGAAAATGAGAATCTGTATTAAAATATTTTCTTAAATAACTTTAGGGGAATGCTATTTATCACGTGATATTATCCAATTAATAGATCCATCCATTCATATATGATGTGATAATATAAAATAACATAGCATAAATAATTAATATAATATAAATTTGCATGAATTAATGTAATATAGATCTGTATCAGTTAATATTAATATATCGTAATATAAAATTGAATTACATTAAAAATTAAC